ATGTTTTCTTTCAATTTTTAGGGCCTGTGCCAATCGGTAACTTTTTTCTCCGTGGTGAGACGGGATGGAAAAATTCGGTATGGTGTACAAATAAATTGTTTTTTGCTGTGCCAAATGCAGAGTTAAATTTTGACAGTTGTAAACTTAGCAAACGCTCGTGCGAAAGCTTTATTTTTGTGTGTTGCTGAAATTCTTAAAATTTATATTTATTTTGTAATTTGCAAGTAACGTACGCTTTTTTTATGCTGTTTCAGCTTTCATTTTCATGTTCACTCCTTATTACCGCCAAGCAATAGTTGCGTTTTTTTACTCATTTCCAGTAAAATCCAGTAAAAGTTTTTACGAATTTTCATGTTTTGGCGTTTTCGTACGCAAAAACTTGCAAAGTAGGGGAAATTGAGAGAGCGAAAAATGACAGTTGAAGTTGCAAGTTTTTACTGGATTTTACTGGATAAATTTTTACTTGTAAGAATTTGCCAGTACGAAGAACAGCTGATCGCATGTTGCTGGATGAAATTTAAACTAATAAGGAAACTGTTTGTGGCTTTTTATTGTTGAATTTCACAAAATAAACCTATTTAAATACAAAATATATTGTTTCATAAGGAATTTGCTACGAATAAACAACCAATTTATCAGCTGTTCATGAAACTTGCAAATATTACTGGAAAAGCGTTCGCGTACTTTTTTGCAAATTTTTTCTATGAGAGCGAATTCTTAGAAATAAAGTTACTGGAGAGTTACTGGCAAGTTACTGGATAATTTGTAAAAAAACACAACTAATATTAGGTTCATTCCTTATCTTTTTGGACTAAAATCTGAAAAGTGTCAAAATGCCAGAGCGTAAGCAAAATGCGCTCACTAGAAGAGAATAACAGGAAAAGTAAAGGAACCCAAAAAACCAAATTTTTAGTCCAAAGAATGGCAACAACAAAACTAACGTCAAATAAGAACAGAAATATATGTACAAAACACATTCACACAAGCTCAAGCACAATAAACACTTGCTATATCAATTATTTTTTGCCTTCTTCCAATTTCAATTAATTTCTTTTACTTTTTAGATTATTCTCACTTTTAGCGTATTCTTTAATTTCCGTTAATTTAAATTCAGTTGAGTTTGACACTTTTCAGGATTTTGCCAGAAAAAATTCTTCTGACTAAATCTGACTACTTCGGACTGATGAGAGTCACTCTCACTGACTGTTGCTCTCTCATTTTTGCTGTCATTTCCGAGTTAAGGAACGCTTTTTGGACTAAATCTGACTACTTCGGACTTTTTCTGACTATTTCTGGGAGATGAGGAACGCTCCTATTATGTGTATACATGGTTATAAGCTGTCAAAATTTTACCTAGCCCCATGAGCTAGGTAAAATTCTGACGTTCTTATTCACCACGAGAAATGTCAGATTTTTACTTTGATCCGTCAAAATCTTCTCTTTTCTATCATTTGGCACAGGCCCTTAGTACCAAAATTGTCATGGCCAATGTCATCTACTAGTAAAGCGCAAAATGAACACCTCCGACGACACATTACGTTGTCAGTTGCAAAATAACGTTCAGCCGAACTTACGTTGTAAAGCGGCTCAGAAGTATGTCTGATACCAAATGTACATTCTAAATTCCTACTTACATAAGGCGGCCACGTCGTTGTGGTAAGTGACGTGGTAACGACATCCGGGTGAAGTGTAAGTTGCTGGTAAGGTATTGCCCTTCACCTGGCTGTTCTTACCACATCCCTGCCGAATCTCCATTACTTTAACAAAGACGTGGCCGCCCTATGTAAGTAGGAATTTAGAATGTACATTTGGTATCAGACATACTTCTGAGCCGCTTTACAAAGTAAGTTACGTGTAATGCAGAGCAGTCGCTCGGAGTAGTTCGGTGCTGGAAATAACTTCGGCTGCACGTTATTTTGCAACAGACAACGTAATGTGTCGTCGGAGGTGTTATTTTGCGCTTTACTAGTAGATGACATAGGCCATGATGACAATTTTGGTACTGAATACTGAAAGAAAACATGGCTTACCTCGTAAGGTTTACCTATTTTCCTAGTGGGATAGTAAAATTAAATATATATTTTGTTCCCCAGCAAAATTGTATAGTTAAAATAACTAAAAAGTGGCTGCTGGGACTAGGAGTGGAATGTAGATATGTATAAGAAAACTCTCGTCTTAATGTATTTTTGTTCTTCAATTATGTCTACTAAAAAGTTTTCGAAACAAAACGATGTTGCCGATCTGCCAGACCGTCACTCCAAGAACTGCCACGGGAGGACTTCTGATGCAGCCGGAACATTGTTTGCACAGAGGGATCCTTATTATCCCGGTGACTGAGAACAACGTCGTCCGTTGAGGGGATTATACATATCCATACATTCATGCGTATGTATAGCTGTGGGTCTCACTCTGTGTGATACTCACTGGTGATGGAGATCTCAATCAAGTATGTACGTCTATCAACATTTTAAGAGCAATATAAAAAAACGTGATGTAAACATTTGTGTACATGTGATCTTCCGTCTTCCTCCCACTTATGGACTTATTTAATGGTCTCTTTTTAACCATCGCAAAATTTGCAAACGTGTTAGTAAGATAAATGAGAATGTGTTTAGTTTTCATCACACCCTTGTAGGATCTCGGAATAGACTTAGAGCACACCACAAACTAGACGGCAAGTGATTAGGTTTGTTCGTCGAAAATCCAGCAAGAATTATCCAACACTCAAAATATCAGAGAGTAAGAAAAAATTCTCTCAAATTCTCTCTCATGTTGAGAAACTTGCAAATTTCTGCACGAACGCAAATTTGCAGAAATTTGCAAGTTTCCCTGCCAGCTGGCGTCCACGGTTGCATTTCAAACATAAAAAATTTTTTTAGAATTTTTAAAATTCTTTCGGATGGCTAAAAACAGGATATACATGTATATTTCTTGTTGTTCTGACTTTCTTTAACATACATTTCAATTTCTTCATCGTACTAGCTGTCGGGTTTCTTTAATCGACTCTGGTTGCAATTGCATTCCGATTGCGAATACCATTTTTTTCAGCCGAATTAAGTTCAAATCATTGGAATTAACTAAATTAATTATATCAACAATTATTTACTTCCTTTTTTCATAAAAAAATCGCTCGTGTTTATAAATTTTTAAATTTAACGAACTAATTTATTCAAATTATTGTAGAGAAAAATGCAACCATGCGTCACAACCACATGTTTTTCGTGTTTGCAAATTCTTGCTGGCAAAATTTTTTCCAGCAAGAATTTGCAACTTCTCTCCAAGAGAACTGTCACTTTGCTCTCACAATTTTTGAGTGTTGGATAATTTTTTGGTCTGCACGAACGCGATTTGGGCAAAAACCGTGATAATTCGTACAAATTCGTACAAATTTTTTGCTCGACGAACAAACCTATTGTAAGTAGTCCAAAGTTTGGTCCAAGAATATGTAAAATTCTATTTACATTTAACATTGAATGTCCTAGGCTCGGCCCAATTGTCCGCTTCTGCATTACATTGTAACCAATTTTGGGAGAAAAAAAACAAAAATAACACTTGCGCCAGCTGAGATTCGAACTGGGGTTCTCAGATTTCCTAAGTGGGTACTCTCTCTACATGCCAACACCCCACATGAAAATTCGTTGACTAAGTGCCTTCATATCAGTAAATCGTTAATCATACCCATTTTCCGCTACTGCGTGACATTGTAACCAAATTTAGAACCAAATTTAGAACCAAACTCATACCTTATGCATTACATTCGGACCACCTTTGGTACAATTAACCTGTTTTACATTACATTGCTTTAAATTTTTGGACTATCTTTGGTCTAAATACAAAACTACTATACCTAAGACTATATTTTTCGAGCAATTGGACCAATATTTCCTTCAGAGACCCCACTGGGAAAATAGGTAAGTACCTTACGAGGTAAGCCATGTTTTCTTTCAGTTTTTAGTACCAAAATTGTCATCATGGCCAATGTTATCTACTAGTAAAGCGCAAAATGAACACCTCCCACGATACATTACGTTGTCAGTTGCAAATAAACATGCAGCCGCCCAGTAGCGAAAATGGTCACTGGTGATATCGTCACTAATGGGGATTTAGTGACATCGACGCACTTGCTGTGAATCCTAAACGACATATAGCTGGAAATGACGCTGGTGACAATGTCATGCAGGTGTCCTCCTATCAAATACTTATAACAGACATTGTCTTGCAGCGGTCCCTTATAAAAAGTTCTTTGCAGGACTTTGCCGCTTGAATGCCATCAATGATCACTGCATAATAAAGACATGCAGAGGCCATCAACGACTAAATTACCATTTGTATGAAAAAGTCATGAACGACGTCCATATAAACGGAGCCCAAAGTCATTGAAGACTTAACATGGCCGTACAACACACTTAAGTGGCTAATGCATGACATTCGCTACGGGGCGAAGTTATTTCCAAGCGCCGAGCTACTCCGAGCGACTGCTCTGCATTACACGTAACTTACTTTGTAAAGTTTAAGTTGCTGGCGGTCCTCGGCGGTCCTTACCACTTCCCCGCCGAATCTCCATTACTTTAACAAAGACGTGACCGCCTTATGGAGTAGTTCGGCGCTTTGAAATGACAACGGAATGTGTCGTCGGAGGTGTTCATTTTGTGCTTTACTATGTCATTGGCGGTGTTTATTTTGTGCTTTACTAGTAGATGCCATTGTCCATGACGACAATATTGGTACTAAAAACTGAAAGAAAACATGGCTTACCTCGTAAGGTGCTTACCTATTTTCCCAGTGGGACAATCATCATCTACCAGATTAAATTCCATATATATGCATGTTCAACATACATATGTATGTAACACCTAATAAAGATAAAAATTTACCGAGCCCTAACCGCCAAAAAGACGTAGGCGACATTTTTTCCAAAATTTTATTTTTGATGCAGAAATGCATTTAAATGATCTCGATACTTCGCATATTTTGGTCTCATCCATTATTCTTCATTACAGATGCCCTAAAAGAGACAAGATAAAAAAAATTGATATCCAGAAGGACAGCACAAGATATATTAAATATTGCAAATTGCAAGAGCACACACGCGACTAAAATTTACAAAAACCAAATGGCTATGTCAAAGGTCATACGTGTACTTGAAAAATCCATCCCACCATCGCCGTATAGCGTTCTTCTAGAGCATCGAAATAAAAGTGATAGCATTCTATTTGAATCACATGCGGCAGCTTTACTTACCAACCATGAAACAGACGCAATTCGCAAGCAGTATACCAAGTTGTGTGACGCATATGGTTGCCTGGGAGTGTTGCAACTTAATGCTGGCGAGAGTACGGTTCTTTTTCTGGTACTTGTTACGGGCTGCGTATCAATGGGAAAGATCTGCGATGTAGAAATTTTTCGAATCACACAGACACATTTTGTATCTTTGCAAAATGCAGCTCCAAACGAAGACAAAATCTCGGAGTGTCGAAAGCTGCTAAATTCAGGAACTTTTTATTTTGCTCACTCGAATGTTTCGATGGCCAGCAGTTTACAGAAGTTCGATATAACATTATGCGCTCAACGTCGTCAGCAAATATCCGAAACTGACAACCGATTCTTTTGGAATCGGATGATGCATATACACATGTTCCGATTTGGTGTCGACTGTCAATCGTGGTTGTTGAAAGCAATGTGTGGATCCGTGGAAGTGCGCACTGTTTATATTGGAGCAAAACAAGCTCGTGCCGCAATCATATCGAGATTGAGTTGTGAGCGTGCTGGCACTCGATTCAATGTTCGAGGTACGTATTGTTTTTTCACACACCAAACAATTTTTGTTACCGGCAATAAGAAAACGTGTCGCCTTCGGAAACAAAGTTATTGACGGCAATATCGCCATCGTATAAATTTCTTACTACCGGTCGCTCTAAAACAGGGGTTCCCAAACTTATATTACCGCGGCACCCTTGTTGTGCTAAACAAATTTTGCGGCACCCCTACTCTTCAAATGTCTACGAAAACAAGAAAACACAATGCCAACTTTATACCATGATAAAAACCTTTATACTCCTTTAGCTTTACAGCCGTATTCTAACAAAGTCACAAACTTTAGCTCATCACTGCTGTGATTTCTACTGCGCCGCAAAGCTTGCCGCTGCAAAAAATATGCCGCTACAATACAAATTTTTAAATTTTTGTGTATTTTTCTAGCACTCAAAATCGAATTTTTTGTGACACATTTCTCGGCGCACTAGAAATCACAACAGTGATGAGCTAAGTTTTGTGACTCTGTTAGAATATAGGGGTTAATGTGAGGACTGCAGTTGTGTTTTCATGATTTCATTATTTCTTTTAAGTTTATTGGCAGCTTTGAAAATTTTACCCTGAAATTATTTGACGCTGGCAGCTTGTTGGTGTATTTGTTTTTAACCGACTACACAAAAAAGAACGTTTCATTGGCATATTTTTTTATTATTACTTTTTAACTATGGACCACGTTAACTGACTACTATTTTGTTTAAAGGAAAGTTGTTACCTCACCGGTGGTCCCATTTTAATTTGGCTTGAATACGATCATTGGATCATGAGATTAACGATAATCTTAAATTTCTATATGGGAATTGAAGTCGGTTTTGTTTTTTTGCTTACTTTGTTGAAAATGCAGTCTCACATAGAAATGTTAAAGTAAAAGTCACTAGTGTTTTTAATGCAATCTTGCCAATAGTAGTGCTTTCTGCATACACTTGCATCCAGAACTCTCTTGGGCCCCCTTCGTAGTATTTAATATTCAAAGTGCTATCTTCACTGATGTCCAGAAGGTTTTCAAAAGCTTAATTTGTCATCTCAGTAGGTTTACTTTTAGGGTCACATGAAAACGGGTTTGATATCCAGCTGTAGACATCCTTCAGAGTCAATGTTGGGAAAATATTCTACAATGGTTTTTTTCTAAACCTCCCAAGTTAACGCTGGTAATGAGCGTTAACTCTAAGAAAATAACTTTTCAACCAATTTCACGAAAGCAATTTAAGTGAAAAATAATTTTAATTTTTTTAATTTTATACATGATTCAATAATGAAAGGTTTTGTAAGAAAAACTTTCTATCGCTCTGATTTTATCAATGACACTCCCACCATACTCCTAAAAACAAAAACAGTGATATTTCTTTTTCAAATTTCTTTGCAAGTTTTGAGAGCATTTTTAAATTGTTAGTAGTGAAATTTTTACTTTTTAAATTTGAAGAAATGTTTGTTCTTCATTCGCTGGCGCCAACAAGACAAAATGGGTGAGAATCGCTGGACTACAAACTTCAATGTAGGCTAAAGAGACGAAATTCCCTTAAATGCCGAAATGTATTTGTAGATATTCGTGGAGACCTCTTGATTCAGCCAAGTCGCTCTAAAGAAAAGCGTGCAATGGTTTTGATCAATGAGCTAACGAAGGTATTTAGGTATTGTCCTCCACAACCCAATCGTGGTGTCTCCGAATGAGACTTTGACGCAATATAACATTGCCAAACCGCATCCATAGGCCCAAACGTCACACGACAGCTCGGTTTAGTCAATGGCGCGATGCAATTGCACACTTAAGAGGTGTACGCACGAGGCGAATGTTGGCTGGCGACCAACTTTGTTGAAAGCGGTTAGTTGAAAGTAGAATGCTAAGTTGAACAATGCAAATGCCTCTTTATGGCGAATATTTTGATATTTTTTTATATTTTGATATTTTTAGTCATTCAAATTTTTTTTTTCGTGCAACCCGGCGAATGGTTAATATTCTGACAGTTGTATAATCTCCCCAGAACATTAAAAGTGCGACATCAAAGAATTCGAATTACCATATTCGAAACAATCGAGCCATAACCGCGAAAGAAACGTAAGCTCCAAATTTTTTTATTTGTCGTTTTTCTTGTTTAGTAAATATTGCATATTTTCCACAAACAAATAGCTTTTTCATATCCATCATCTGGCAAACAAATACAACAAAAAAAAGCTGAAAGTGGACCATCCATTCTCAAGTTATGCGCCATCTGATGTACGCAAGTTTGGTATTTACATAGAAATATTTATTTTTAATAACAATCGGGGGTTATATTTGATGTGAATAAGCTTCTTTAAATTAAATAATTAAATCGAATTGGTTTTTGTTTTAAAATACCACCATTCACTATTATCCACACCTTTTTATGGAATTTAGCTCCCATTTTAGGAAGTGTGATTGAATTCTTCCCCTTTTTCTCCTGCTTCCATAAACCATCCCTGTGGATGGGAGTGCCAAATTTTAGAAAAAAAGCTACTTACAAAACCTTTAATAATTGAATCATGATTTTATATGGAAATTGACAGAACAAAAAAAAGAATAAATAAAAAATTGCTGATGAAACCGGCTGTTATCAATTTTCTTAACGTTAACATCGATGTTACATACACGATGTTAAGTCCCACTACGTCGGTACTTTCGTCAAGTTGCAAACTAAAAAATTCACAAGTTTTCAAACTTATAATAAGTTCGTTCCCGACTGCCTCTAAAATAGTGTTGATTCGCTCTTTCACAGTGTGATTGTGCAGTTCCAAAGAACAAGTAACATATACGTGTGCGCGAAGCTGCTCAAAATTTTCTGATTAAATTTTTCGTTGACCAAATGTACTGGGGAACTACGCTTATGAGCGAAATACACCACACAAGCGGCTTGACAAACCAAGTGAACTATCCCTTTGCTGCAAGCCATTTGTGTTATGTATGTGGTTTGACGAGCCGCTCGAGGTAATTTTAATAAACATCATTTTTGTTTTTGATTTTCTGGCCGCCACACATGGGGACGAATCGACAATTTAGGACGACAAAAATAGAAAATCAAAAGTCTTTAAATCTTATCACACATACCTTTCTCATACTTCTTATAGTCCACAATGTAACACACACATTTTGACTTTTACCGCAACTCTTTAGCTTTAGAAATGCGCAAAGTTGGGTTTTCTATCGTGCGTCGAATTAAATCAAGTTTTGTTTGAAGCGATGATAAAATAATTTCGCTTGTCATTTTATTCTTATTAACAACAGTTAACAGTTTTGTCAACACGGATACTATCTCACGCCTCACTTTCCGTGTTGACAAAACTGTTAACTGTTGTTAATAAGAAGAAAATTGCAGGGGCTAAAAGACTGTGTACTCAAAAAAATTTTAACACTTCCGAGAAAAAAGTTTGAAATTTACGTGAAATTTTGTTGCACTTTTTTGAAGTTTTCTACAAATTGTTAATCTTGGGTATATATGGGGTTTGTCTGAGAATGAACTAAATTTTAATTGAAAATTCTTAAAAATAAATAAATAAACATAAGTGGCACACAATATCACTTTGAAATGGCGTGCTATAGATATGTCCGATACTGTATGTACTTTATTTTGCGATTTTTGTTAATAATATAGCTGCTTGTAAAATGGTTATAATACCTATTCTATAAATTGCCTTTTTCTTATTGAAAAAAATTTTGAAATTTTTATATCAGTTAGAGTTATAAAAAAAAGTTGCAACGAGTACAGGAGTTTTCTTCAACAGTTCGAAAATCCAACAAATTGCCAATGTAAAAATATCACGAACTCGTCCCCCCTTTCCCTTTTCATTAAATAGAGCATCTTTTTCTTAAGTCGTTTATTGGGAGGAATCGAAAATATATGACGACAACAACGTTTACTCCATATGTATTTGACAGATTTCCATGAAATTTGGTATCTAGGGGTTTTCGTCGTCACTGATTTCGAAATTGATACAATTTTTAAAATTCAAAATGGCGGATCCAATATGGCGAACGATTTCTTTAAAAAATGTATACATTGTTATGAAGCTTGGTATTTACTCCCTAGATATCGATGCAAATTAATTCTACAAAACATTTTTATTTCTAAATCTTTTTCCTGTTAAAATTTGATTTTTTTTCATTTAATTTCCACAATAAATATCTTAAAGCTTTGACGGGGTACGAATATTCTGAAAACGGTATCGCAATCTATAGCTCAAAATTAAGTTTAAGTGTTTGGCCGTTTAGCTGTTATATTTTTGGTTCCCTACTGTATATCTAAATATGTAATAGTTGTCTAATTTATTGGTGTCAATTATTTTTATAATGATATTAATTTGGAAATCTAATATTTAATTCGTAATCAGTTCCCAGCTATCAAGTTTCATTACAAACCATAATTAAAAGAAAAAACTTGTCCGCCATATTGCATGTCCATTTTGAATTTTGAAAGTTTAGTTTCAATTTCGTAATCAAAGATAACGAAAATCTTTGAATACCTAGTTTCATTACAAACTATAATTAAAAACAAAAGTCGTCCGCCATATTGTATCCGCTATTTTGATTTTTGGAAATTGAATACCAATTTCGAAAACAGTGACGACGAAAGTCTCTGGATAACAAGCTTCATAACAATATAGTAATTTTTAAATAAATCGTCCGCCATATTGGATCCGCCATTTCGAATTTTGAAAATTTGATTTAATATTCGAAATTAGTGACCCCGGAAATCCCTTAACAGCAAATTTCATTGAAATCTGTCAAATACATATGGAGTAAACATTTTTGTCGTCCTAAATTGTCGATTCGTCGCCATGTTGAAGTTTGATCAAACCGCTTGTGTGGTGTATGGAAAGTTTAAAGAATTTGCCCGCACCACTAGTATACTCTAGCCACTAGCGGCACCCCAGGAATACGCACCCACTTTGGGAAAGCCTGCTCTAGTGTTTCCATGAATACCTCCATGAGTATTGCTGACGCTTGCCCATTCCTAGCCCGTTCTTCTTCAGAACACCTACTAATTTTTGTTCTTCTGCAGTAGGAAAAAGTTCAAAAGTGTCTTTAACAAAATATCAGCAGTTACAAATAAACATTCTTTAATCCAAGGCAATTAAGAAAAAGAGATTTACGGAAATTTGGTTCATTAAATATTGAAAAGTGTATTATTTGAAGTCGAACTATTTCCTTGAATAATGGATATTCGATATATGGAAGTTTTACTCTATTTAACTGCTCCAACACACACAACACATTTACATATATGTATGTATATATTTTTATATTTAAGGAACCAATGATGAAGGACACGTTGCTAACTTTGTTGAAACGGAACAAGTGATTTATGTGGATAGTGATGTAACCAGCTATATTCAAACGCGTGGTTCTGTTCCATTATTTTGGGAACAGCCAGGCGTTCAAGTGGGCTCCCATAAAGTGAAATTATCGCGTGGTTTCGAGGCTTCAGCTGCTGCCTTTGACCGGCACATGACGATGATGAAACAACGTTACGGGTATCAAGCAATTGTGAATCTTTTGGGTACTTCCATGATTGGAAGTAAGGAAGGGGAAGCGATGTTAAGTAATGAGTTTCAACGACATCATAGTATGTCGACTCACAAAGATGTGGCACATGTTATATTTGATTACCATCAAGAGTGTAGAGGTGGAAATTTTGGAGCGCTTTCGAAATTGAAGGAACGTTTGGGCGTGTGTGGTGTAAACTATGGTTTCTTTCATGCCAGTCAGGGACATGTATTACGCGAACAATTTGGTGTTATTCGTACTAATTGCCTAGACTGTTTGGATCGTACAAATTGTGTGCAAACCTATTTAGGATTGGATATACTAAATCAACAAATAGAAGCCTTGAAGTTGGGGGAGAAAAAGCAAAACTTCTCAAGATTCGAGGAAATATTTCGTCAAATGTGGATAAACAATGGCAACGAAGTTAGCAAAATCTATGCAGGTACTGGAGCTATACAAGGTGGTTCTAAACTAATGGATGGAGCGCGTTCGGCCGCTCGCACCATACAGAATAATTTGTTAGATAATTCTAAGCAGGAAGCAATTGATATCTTATTGGTCGGATCAACACTATCGTCAGAGTTAGCTGATCGCGCTCGGATATTATTGCCATCAAATATGTTACATGCACCAACAACAGTTTTAAGGGAAATGTGTAAACGCTATGCTGAGTATGTTATGCCCCGAACATGTCGTGTTGCTGTTGGGACGTATAACGTTAACGGCGGCAAACATTTTCGCAGTATTGTTTTTAAGGACTCATTGTCTGATTGGCTGCTTGATTGCCATGCCTTGGCGCGAGCCAAAGATCTGGTAAACGTGACTAATCCTTCGGAAAACGCATGTACACCAGTCGATATATACGCAATTGGTTTCCAAGAGATCGTGGATTTGAACGCTTCCAATATTGTTGCCGCCAGCACAGATAATGCCAAATTGTGGGCAGAAGAGTTGCAAAAGACTATATCTCGCGACAACGACTATGTGCTTTTAACTTACCAACAATTGGTCGGTGTGTGTTTATATATATATGTTCGACCGGAGCATGCGCCGTTCATTCGTGATGTGGCAATTGATTGTGTAAAAACTGGACTTGGAGGCGCTACCGGAAATAAAGGAGCTTGTGCCATACGCTTTGTTTTGTACGGAACATCCATGTGCTTCGTTTGTGCTCACTTTGCTGCCGGCCAGTCACAGGTAATGACGTATGTACATATGCACACGGAATTAAAACATTTTTGGTTTGTTCATATTTAGATGAATTAAAATATTTTTCATTAAAATAGCTTCGATCGGTATCAGGTAAACACATTTTCCGTTATTTTTTTACCACGGGAGTTGTCTTTTAGATACGAAAACACAAATATTGTCGTGTCAGTATTAATCGTCGACATATGTACATACAATTGTGTTCCTATTAATAGCAGTGCGTTCTCTGTGGTGGGAAAACTCAACTTCATCCAAAATAAATTGAATAAAACTTAAAAAGGCTCTCGCACGATTAATGCAAATATAATTAAAACAAAAAGTTGCAGTTTTCTTGCAATTGCTTCCATTAAAACGTTGACAAAAACAACAGTAAAAACGAAAATGATATGAAATTCAACATGAACACGTCGTATAGCCCTTATTCCGAATGACGGCGGCACATCTACGCTGCATCGAGTCCACTAAATGTCTGCATCTTCCGACTGGGATATTTGCCCCTGCAGAGCGTACAACTTCTCACAAAGCGTTTGCATTGGTTGGATTTCTTTTGAAAACACTATGTTTTATGTCCCCGTTATTATTCCGAAAGAAGTCATTTGCTAGCATGCTCGTATGTTTCGGGTCATTATCCTGTTAGAAGACCCATTTCGGCGCAGTTCTTCTCCAGCATATGGCAGCATTACTTCTAGGATTTCAACTACTTGTGCTGATCCATGATACCATCAATTTTATATATTGCTAGTCGTTTTGGACTGCGAGTTTCGGGACGATTATTGAATTTTTCGCTGAACAACCAATTAGATGTTGTATTTCTTTGTAGGTTTTGTTTTCCTTCCGCAATATTTTATCAAGGCTCTGGTTTCACTTGTACAATGTTTGGAACGTCCCATATTTCTGTAACATCAAAGTTTTTATTTATCCCTGTCGCTCCAATATATATTACACTTCCCAAAAATAACTTGCTTTAAGACAGAAATAGTTTATGTACACAAATAATTCCGCTCGCTGGTCAGTTAATTGCAGAACTGCTATTATTATGAAGAAGCCAAATTCAATGATTCAAGCGAAATGCATCCGGCAGCAACGCCATGCTAACTTTAATCGAATTGAAATTCGTACGCATTTGCTATACCGTTACCTTAAGCTTGGAATTCAGCTCTCAAGAATAATCACAAGAAATGTCTTTATTTTAATTTTTTTATTGAGCTTTGTACCACGATTTTGTTTATTAACAATAATAAATAATAAACAAAATCGTGGTATAAAGCTCAATAAAAATATTAAAATAAAAAGGTTAATAAGCCACAGTAAAATTGACAAACACAAGAAATATCTTTAATTATTTCTGTTGCTTGAAAAAGCCTTTTGCTTTTGCTGCGATTTTTTTTGAAGCCCTTTAAGCCGAAAACACAATTTAAAACGAAATTTCTGATTTGGTTTGAGCAGACCGTCACGTTGGCGCATACGTAGCTGGCACTGCTATTTATATGAATGCAACTGAGCCCAAGAAACTTTCTGCCGACAATTCGGAAAGAGGCGTTAATTCAAAGAGTTTTTCCTGAGTAAAGCATTCGGAAGTTGGACCACTTTACGAAACCAGTGGCTTTTTCTTGTCTGCTGTTACAATAAAATTATTTACCAAATAAACGGCATGATCATGTATTCTCCGGAAAAAATCATACAGTAACTTGCCAGTAATTTAATTTCCGAGAATTTGCTTTCAAATAGAACAACATTCTAAAGAGTATAAATCCAGTAACAATTTTCAAAGTGTTATGAGCCGCTGATTAATTTTATATTTTCTGAAGCAATTTCCTAATAACAGTATTTCTATCTTTTTTTATATTCAAATAGGCATATTTTGTCAATTTCAACTATAAAATCCCCACAGACAATTACTTTTATTAGTGTGTACTGCACCCAGCAACGTGCCATTAGCTGCCAGGTTTTTCGCAGACAACCTTATATCTTCGAGTTCCCCTTAAGATTTTCTCTATTTAGAACCAATATTTATTTATTAAACAGATGAGTGAAAATTACTAGTGTTACGTACCTGTTCATACCTGCCAAGCCCATATGTGGGCCAGGAAAAAATAGACAGCCCAACGTTTTCACATTCTATAGGCCTCAAACAGATTTGACTCACTGTTGAATTCTCCACGTCGAAGAGTATTTTTTATTGTTGAAAGAGTAACTGTTGTGCAATATATTTGTAGGTAGCTGAACGTAACGCAGATTATGCCGAAATTACACGAAAATTGGCATTTCCAATGGGACGAACTCTCAAATCGCATGACTGGGTGTTTTGGTGTGGCGATTTTAATTACCGAATCGACATGGAGAAAGATGACTTAAAGGAAGCTATAAAAAATGAAGATCTGGCCTCGGTGCTAATAAATGATCAGTTGCGTAAGGAACAAGAGGCAGGCAATGTTTTCAGTGATTTCCTTGAAGGGGAAATAAACTTTGACCCGACGTACAAATATGACTTATTTAGTGATGAATATGATACGTCAGAAAAACAACGTGCACCAGCTTGGACCGATCGTGTACTGTGGCGTCGGAGAAAGGCTTTAGCAGCTGAGACAGACATGACTAGTGTTGAATGGAATCCGGGGAAACTTATTCATTATGGTCGTAGTGAATTGAAGCAGAGTGACCATCGTCCGGTGATTGCTATTATAGATGCAGAAATTGTTGAGATTAATTTGAAACAACGACGAGAGGTCTATTTATATTTAACTTAATATTTTTCCCATTACCCTATATTTCGTATACCTTTCGCTTTTAGGTGTTTGAGCAGGTCATAAGAGACCTAGGGCCACCTGATTCTACCATTGTGGTGCATGTGAAAGAGAACACTCTCGATGAAGGTGGTCCTACCATCTATGACGAAGCTGTAATGACTACTCTTATTCAAGAATTGTCGAAAATGGGAGAGGTCACCCTGGTACGCTATGTAGAGGATACTATGTGGGTAACATTTCGGGATGGAGAATCGGCATTGCATGCTAGTAAGAAACAATCTATTCACATTTGCGGTATGGAATTAAAGTTCGAATTGAAGACGACAAATTGGCAACCACTAGTTGATGGAGAAATTGATCTTTGTACAACAAATACGATACCATTATGTTCAAATCCCCAAGAGCAGGCGAAATTATTTAGCAGCTCACCTGATGTGCCGCAGCGACCTAAACAACCTCCGACGAGACCTGCTCCAGCTCGTCCGCCTATGCCAATGTCGCCCAAAAATTCACCTCGACACCAGCCACACGTTGGTGTCATAAGCGTCGTCCCAGAGATGCTGCTATCGAAATCGCAAAAACCTGTCGTGCCGGCGCAACCGTTGATGCCACCTCCATTGCAGCCTACGCCATTGTCCCAATTAACTCAAAAGAACGTGAAACCGCCCTTAGATATTGAAAATGTCGGTGGAAGTGATGATGACAACGAAGCCTTTTCATCTTCCAAGTCACAATCACCTACAGAAACACAGCAAACCTCTCCAATAAACTCGTCTGTAGTGTCACCAAGTGGTTCGGCCGATGGACAATTGCCACCCACACCGCCTCGCCAAAGCAAAAATTCCACGCCAACATCCACACCAAGACGCCAATCGAAACAATCATCTGTTGACATACAAGAAAGCACTTCAACATTCTACGATGGCAGTGCTTTGAACATTTATGAAGAAATACAAGATGAAATACCAGCGCCTAAGCATCCGCCACCACCATTTCCACCAGCTGTCAACCAAGAAATTTCATCAATTGCCCCAGCTGGAGACAGTCCACGCAGGCAAGTTCAAGCGACTGCAATAGGGCCTCCTCCACCACTGCCGGCGCGACGAGGGCCCCCACCTATACCGAATCGAAGTGGAAATGCACCGCCACTACCCATAAGACCCAACCATAACAATTAAGTAAGTAATTAATTAAAATTTTTTATTATAATTTTTTGGTTATTTTTTATTTACGCACTTATGTATATGTTTAATTAAGTTGAAGTTTTGACCAAATTTTTTGGTGTTTCTTTTTGAAATAATTATTTTATTGTTAAGATCAAATTATCCTAATTTGTAATAACCGCGTAAGTCTATGGGCTCGATTTAGTGTAATGCATCATTCGTTAGTATGTAGTAGTTATTTAAACTGTGAGGACTTTTTAATAAGCTTTATGAGATTTTCAAGAGACAGTTTCCAGTATGCAAGCATTAATTCCACCTTTTTAGCCAATAGATAGATAAATAGATAGATAATATAGGTATGCACTGCGACCGAGAGATCTGTTATGCCCTAAACTATTTACAGTACCTAATCTTATCTCCAGGAGATAGCGATTGTATCGGCTCTTCACTTGCCCAGAGTTGGCCTAGGTACCTTTCCCGTCTTCTCGCGACTTGCACTCGCAAAGCAGGCGCACAGTCCTCAGTCACATTGCAGAAACGACATATGTAGGTCGTTTGACCAGATCCCTAGCTTGTGCAGCTAACCTCTTAGTGTGCAGTGACCCGTCAGGAAACCTGTTATTATCCTTACCCTTTCTTTGGGGAGGTTAATAATCGCTCTGTACTTTATAAGGTTGTAGCCCCCAAGTAGGTATTTAGCATGAAGTAGACCTGTAGTGTTACGCCAATGTTGATTCCCTAGCCTGTTCCTCTCCTTCCTGGGGTCTTCCTTGATTGTGCTAGGGCCAATCGTTAGGAAGGGCTCAGACCCTATAGACGACTAGGCGGCTGCCATTCAGGCTAGTCCGTCCGCTTCCTCATTACCTGCAACTCCTATATGACCTTGTACCCAAGTTAATTGGACGTCATTGTACTCCGCCACGCTGTTGAGCTTATCAATGCACTCAAGAACCAAGGAGGACTTGGCCTCGAATGATGAGAGGGCTTTGAGTGCCGCCTGGCTATCATTCAATATTAAAATTTTCTCATTACGTAATATCTACGTAGGTTAATCTCTGCACACAGTCTAATGGCATAGACCTCCGCTTGAAAGATACTCGAGTGTGCTCCCATGGGTACCGAGAGATCCAGCCTTGGTCTGTAGATGCCTGCCCCAATACCGTCCGGGGTTTTGGAGCCGTCTGTATACCATTGCAACGAGTACGTTGACGGGTACGTGCATCCTTTAATAACCTCGTTCATGATGGCATCCTGGAGTCTGGTTAGGTCCTCTGAGCTCAGGGCAGCAGCAGGGTACTCAGAAGGCATGGGCTGCTGAGTGGCACCCTCTGCGCCTGTCCTTGCCCGGTCGGCTGCTCCCGCTGCTGTTTGGGGTTTGGTGGCTCAGGCGGAGTAATCTGGTTGCTCCCACTTTTGACTGCATCACCAGGGGGTTGCCCGCTTCTCAGCGGGCGCGGTTCTGTGGTGCTGCCGTTGCTGTACTCCGCTCCACTGCTTTGCAGCAGGCGCGGGTAAGTGTACCTGTTTGTTGGGCCCGCTCTTTCACCTATCGGCAGGACTTTACTGTTACGCTCACATCCCTTTAACTGGGGCCTTGCCCTGCTCAAGGTAACGGAGGTACCATTTGAACCCGGAACCGCTCAAGCCCTCGCGATGCCGGTCGTCTAGAAACCCCGGCTGACCTGGCAGAGACATCGGAGGAGGTTTGGCCCTGCGGTGCTTTTTTCTCCTACGATGCCGGCTCTTGGAACGGGGTGATTACCGTCGGTGCGGTGGCTGCTGCCTGACCTTCCTGTCTCCCTGTGCCTGTAAAGAGAACTGCCAGACTTTGTTTACAAAAGTACCTGTTTTGCACTGTGTATTCTTACGGGGCGCATCTGCACTGGTGCCTGGCTGTTCGTCGTCCCTTGCGTGTTCAATGAACAGCGCTGCTTCTGCGGGGGTTAGCTTGTCTAGGAAACTGCCCTTCCGTCTGATGCTCTTTGAGCCTTCTAGCCGCTGCTGTTTCTTGACGTCGCTAGTGCTCCTGTAGTTATGTTGCTGTTGCTGCAGCGGGCGCTGTTGTACACATCGCCGCTGATGCCGCAGGTGCTGTAGTCGATGTTTTTTTTTGTTTTCTTTTGTTTTTTGTTACTTTTTGTTGTTGCTTGTTATCCTCTTTTTCGTACGGCCGCCTGCTCGACGAGGCAAGCTCAGCAGTCTAATTACTTTACTTCCCGATGCGGCCCGGTGTCGAAAAGGCGCCGTTCTAATACAGCCGGTTTATACCCTCCTGGCTGCAAACCGTCCAATAGGCACGGTTTCGCTTAACAGCCTGGATTAGGAGGGGGTAGTTCTTGGTCACTGATCTGAAGCAGCCCAAGTCTGGAGAGAAGGTAGCGCGGATGCCTGCACATCCGCGTTACCTCAGACCAGAAGAGGGTTGGTTTGTGATGCTGCTAAAGTTTTGGTTTCCTCGAAAGCTGTAACGTAAAATAGCGGTAGTAACTTAACGTTGCCAAAAACGTTGCCATGTAAACTAAGATGACGGCAATACACACCTTAATGTAATTTGATGGCACCGTAAAATGTCTATCAATTTTGAATAATAAAGTGGAAAGTGCATGGACGGTCGAAGAGGATGAAGTCCTACGTTCATTTAACTTTACATAAAAGCGGTACCGCTATTAGCGTTGAGAATAGCGTTTGGTATAATACGGTCGTAATATTACGGCACCACTTTTCGAGGAAACCAAAGCTTAAGCCCCGCACCAACGACAAGGTGCCTGCCCTAGCGAGGGGTACGTAGCAAGCAAATGGTGCATTATACGAAACCAGCCTTGGTTAATGTAAATTACCACAGATATACGCACATACGTTTTTAAGTACCTTCTTGATAGGAAAATTTGGTTGAAAGGTAAACAGTCTTCTGGAGAAAAGCCCGTAAATAACCCGTTAAGTAGCTGCTAGACGTAGCAAGTGTAGGTCCTTTTAAAAAGTCTTCCAAACTCAAGAATTTCCAAAAGTGATTGCAAGAGCAGTTACACCTTGCATATAAATCAAACTTTCCCACACTACTTTTTGTCTGGCTAGGAAACTGCCCTTCCGTCTGATGCTCTTTTAGCCTTCTAGCCGCTAGTGCTCCTGTAGTTATGTTGCTGTTGCTGCAGCGGGCGCTGTTGTACACATCGCCGCTGATGCCGCAGGTGCTGTAGTTGATGTTTTTTTTTGTTTTTTGTTGTTTTTTTGTTTTCTTTTGTTTTTTGTTATTTTGTGAATGCAGAAAATTCCACTTTCAACTATGGTACCAAACATTTTTATGCGTACAACAACCTGAAAAATGTATTAAGAAATGCTAAAGTGCACAGAAAAAGTCGAATGTTTTAATATTTAAATAGTTGATATTAGGAGAATAAATCAATTACAAGTATTTCTTGTTATATTTGATGCTACACTTTTATACAAATTCGCCAAAAATCGCGTTACACGGCAACACACGATCGGTTTGAAAGCATTTCGGCTGCTCCATTCCAAAACACAGTATCTAACATTTTCTCGAAAAATCGGGCTTTTATAATTTGGGATATACTGTGTTTAGACGCACCTTTTAACTAGGCCTATACGCAAAAAAATGTAATGAAAAACTTTATCATATAGCATTAATATCTAAAGAATTCGTTAAACAGCCTATAGAGACCAAATAAAAAAACTAAATTACTCTTCACAATTTTATTTTTAACGCTATTTGCGTATTTTACACCTTGCAATTTGTATTTCCGAAAGTGATTTCTGCAAATCTGCAAAAACTACTTTCTGGCTGTTTACACGGGAAAGTAGACGTTCGATTTTACTGTCAAAATGCGTAGAAAAAGAGCTTGCATTGAAAAATGTTAGATTTACATATCTTTAGAAAAGCTTAAACCATTCCCTTTGTAAATACAAAAATTGTTTTCCTTCACAATTTTCAATTCGTAATGTAGGGCTTTTGCATTGATAACACTGCTCAACAAAATTCTGTTCTTATAGGATTTTTTCCCTAGAATCCGTTGACCATAAAGATATTGGAGTGGCTCTAGTTTTCGAGCAACTTAGGTTTGAAGGTGCGCGTTTTTAGGCATTTTCGAGCCTCTGTAAAACAATAAATTGATGCAATATATCTGTCTGTGTGGGAGGATATGAAAGTCTAAACATTGCCTTTTAATACTAAAAATAAAACAAAATTCGGACCATATATTGAAAGCAATTGGAAACAGTTTTTTTTTATACGAGTACGCAGGATTTTTTGACACTCCTTTTGCCGGTTTTAGATCACTTGTGTTAAATAAATCTAAGCCGATGAAAATTTCTAAAGAGGTTGAAATTGAAGCTCAAACCTTCATCTAAGAGAACATAACACAGGCCAACAAAGTTTATTGACTAAAATATTACAGCCGATCCTTTAAGGATTTGTCCCGTACAGCTGGAATCTGATCTTGAAAATGTTTAATTTCTCATCTCATTCTCATCTTGATTTCCACTGCTAGAGTCCATCAGTATTTGGTGATTAATCCATGAAACCTCGAGGGTCTTCAAAGATTGGTACAGGAATTTCTGCAGTATGTGGTTAAAGGCCGTTAACCATTTAACCATAATTTGTTGATATTGAGTATTAAAGGGCTGTGCTTAGGCTTTCATATCCTCCCACACAGACAGATATATTGCATCAATTTATTGTTTTACACAGGCTCAAAAATTTCCAACGTGTTTTTCGGTCCATTTAAATCTAAGTTGCTAGAGCCAATCTAATATCTTTAGTATCAGATTCGGATTCTAAGTGAAAAATCCTATAATAATCGGCTATTCCATTTTAGTTAACATAATATTGTTTACATGTTGTATGTCTTGCACTTGCCGACGTTTTGTTTTGATGCATCAGACACTTTTATAAATCTAAAGAATTTTATTAGAAAATCATTATTTGAACCTTATTTAAAAAAAATATTTTGGGTCCTGTCCAAAAGTAATGTTTTATATTTGTACCAGGAACCAAGTTACGGAACGGTGCACGACACATACATGTACACAAACACATATTGGAAAATCCTACGAGAGCATTTGGAAAGGATATTAAACTACGAAAACATTCGTATGAGTATGTAAACACCGTGAGAAAACGTACACACATGCACGCCTATATTGCATATAATCCTGCTTAATCCATGCATAATTGTGTACTTTAGTTACCTATATAGTTGTTATTTAATTTTAGAATATAGGGTATTGTGTACATACATACATTTGTATTTACGCAGGCAAAAATAAATTCTCTATGAATTGAAATTTTAAGATTTCATAAAATGGGACATTCCTGAATTTAAACAATAATATAGATATTAACAATACCCAATAGTTTATTTAAACATTTTCAATTACTAACTATTTTTATAGGACCCCATCAAAATATTAAAAAAATGCAATTGGGGGGCTCATAAAAATGGCTAGTATTAAAAAATGATATACTTTTTTTTCGGTATAGAACAATCCTGGGGGGTGAGAGCATTAAAATTCCGACTTTACTTTTTAACATGCATTCACATGGGGCATTCCAGCCCGATTCGGACAACCATTTGGCTTTTGCATCTCCGATTTTTTATGTTATAGTAGCAATCAGGGTGGCCTTCGTCAATTGGCACTATCACATTAAAAATTATGAAAAAAGCGGAGATGCAAAAGCCAAATAGTGTCGGAATTGGGCTGAAATGCCCTATGTGCATGTATATGGGTAAATTCACGTCAAATGCCCAAGCGCGGTGCAAAATAAGCTACTTTTCGACTAGCTGGGAATCAGACAAAAAATAGGAACAAAAATTCGAAAAATATGATTCCCCTAAATTTTTGTACGGGCTATCCGATGGTGCTATGCGTTTCCGAAAATTTTCCTATTTTCATGGTGAAAATTGGAATCGAAAATTTATATGTAATTTTTCTCAATTATGGTAATTTTTAGTTTTGTTTTTAGTCATCTCAATCGAAAGATCAGGTCTTTTTACATAGAAATCATTAATAAAAAAGGTCCTTTTTTGATTTTTCCGAGCAATAAAGCACTTTAGAGCGCGCTAAGCCGATAAACGTAAACGTGCGTGTCACTTGAATAATGTTTATGACTTTGGAGCTACTTGATGTGTGAATCTGAAACTTTAACAAATACTTCCAAATATGCATCTACAATACTGCATTAAAACAAAAAATAATAATTTATAACAACTATTGCATTAAAAAAAACACCGCAATTCTTATAAAAAAAGTTTGAAAACCTTTAGTTTCGATTGTAATCAGAATTAAGAAGTGTTGTAAAACATAAATTCTTTGGAATACAAACTATTGTTGTATGAAAATTTCAAATTGATCGATACACGAACGTCTGAGATATAGTTAAACTAAATGAAAATTTGTTAAAAATTTGCTGTGACAGTATGATGCTCTAATTCGTGCAAGCGAACGGTGACGCGACGGAGCGTCGCAACTACATATGTAGTTTAGAGCGTTCTAAACGCTTTATAACTGGGAAAAATCAAAAAAATCTTTTTTATAATGATTTCTATGTGAGAAGATGAAAGCGGTTGAGGTAACTAAAAACAAAATTAAAAATGACCATAATTGAGAAAAATTACTAATACATTTTCGTTTCTAATTTTCACCATGAAAATAAGAACATTTTTGAAAACGCATAGTACCATCGGATAGCCCGCACAGAAATCTAGAGAAATCATATTTTTCGAGTTTTGGTTCCAATTTTTGGTCTGATTCCCAGCTAGTCAAAAAGTAGCTTGTTTTGAACCGCTCAGCGCGCTTGGGACATTCGACGTGAATTGACCCATATGTATTGTTGTTGAAATCGTTACAGTACATAAAATAAAAGTGGCGGCTGACATGACATGTTCTGGTTATTCATTGTATAATAACTTACGTTAATTAATATAAATTTATTTATAGTTCCGTATTAAGTAAAATTATATCAGATTATTCCTATTTGTCGAAATCCTTTAATGGATATACATATATACATAAATAATTAAAGAACTTATCTATCTGCTAGTAATTGCCTAAGTTAAATCCTAGTCAAAAGGCTCAAAAGCTATTGAGCAAAAATTAAATGAAATAAAATAAAATAATATAATATTATGATAAAGTACATATACCCTAATGAGCTGAGCTGTTATTGTTAAAACAGTTTTAGTAAATATAAAAATGCAAGTAAAGAAATTGTTGTTGCTAGTAAAATCCACTCTATATAAAGTATTAAGTATGTCGAAAGAAGATGGGGAACAGTGGGGATTAAATATGGAATCCATATGAGACCAATATTTATGCGTAATGCTTTTCGAATGCCGCAAACATACAATTGTGCAATATAAAAAAGTATACCATAATATATACATGTATGTATTACATAAATAAATGTCACATTATAAAAAATGCATATGAATAAATAATAAAATATAGAAATAAATTTATGGTTTGATTTCCTTTAGATGTGGTAATAAAATACCAAAAAAATCCAAAATAGTTCATTATCCATTTACTGTACTCATTTATTGTAAATATTTTAAAACCAGTACGAAAAATATGTACATCTGACTGTGATAAAACCGACTGCTGAGTGGAAGATCGACCTATCTCGGTAGCCTGTATGAAAACGCCCTACCTCAAAAAACTTTTAAAGAACGCCCTATTTCAGAATTTTATCGAAACACACCCCATCTCAGAATTTGGTTGAAGAACGCCCTATCTCAGAATTCGGTTCAAAAACTCCCTATCTCACTTCAAAATGTATTGAAAATGTGATGAGATTTTGAATCGGCAGCTGAGATAGGGCGTTTTTGAAACGAATTCTGAAATAGGGCATTCTTCAAACAAATTCTGTAATAGGGCGTTCTTGAAAAGTTTTTTGAGATAGGGCGTTTTTGAACTGGCTGCCGAGATAGGTCGATCTTCCACTCAGCAGTCGAAACAGTTGAACTCTTTCACCTTAATAGGTAAACGCATTTAAAACCAGGCTGGTAAAGGATCTTGTGCGCCGTTTTTGTAACTAGGTAGTGCAGTACAGGGACGCTGTTGGCGCCAAAATTCTTGTCGTTTTTTTAGAAAGTCTACAGCATCCTTCGCGTAAGTGGATATGCTCTCCGTATTCGTATCGGCGCGCACTAAATCCGGGTGCTTTAGCAGATTTTCTAAGTACTCTTTGTCAACGCACAATTCACCTAGCAACTTGCGCGCATTTCGTCGTTCCATTTCCGTATCTGATAATTTCGAGCGAACAGGTTGCTGGCAATGTTTTAGCGATTCTTTTTTGACTAAAAAATCACTATTTTTCTTAACCGGCGCAGATATGTTCCGTGCTGAGCTTTTACCTATGGTGTTTTCAATAGCTTCTTGAGTTTTTTGAACTCCCAAGCGGAATGATGCCAATTCAGGGCGAGTGCGCAAGCCTTGATGGAAGAACATTAGGCTCTGTTCGAATTGGCCGAGGAAGTATAATGCTTCTGCTTTCTGATATATTGCGCGAATATTGTTTTTATCCTCGGCGAGTGCAGTTTCCGCATCTTGTAAGGCTTTGGAAGGCTCCCCGAGTAGGAGGTAACATTTACTACGGGAAACCAGCGCATTTATGTCAGTGCTATTGAGTTCAAGTGCCTGAAAATGAGTAATAAACTGTTTTAGTCAATTATACATACATATGAAAAAAAAAACTATATACATGGGTATTTGCATGGCAGAGGTTCATTATAGCGAAAAAGGGTCTAAGTTGTTAAATATATTAAACCATATTGAAAATATGTCAAAACACTATACTCATTCCCTTAGCATTGCTAGACTTGAATAAAATTAGTGCCAGCGAAATTATAAAAAAAAAATAAAATAATTGGAAACTTCCAATAACATAAATCCATTTATCTCTTTCATATCTCTATAAACTTCTTTGTAATTTCTTTTTGCAGCTATACTCCATTTAGTTCTCAATAACATCCTAAAATCAATAAATTAATTCTTTCGAGAACTTTTGCATACATTTTGATAAATCAGCATTGCTCAATATCCCTGTGCCGAAATTGTAACGCGAGTGACTAGAGTCCGACCGATTCCAATTTTTTTTTTTTCAGGTACCGATGCCGATGCCGATTAATCGGCTTATGGGGAAAGAATCGGCCAATGCCGATGCCGATTCCATAAAAAATTACAAATAAATGTATTAATTCATAAAATCAGTTATTTAACGGAGTTAACAAAACAAAAGAAAAAAAAATAATAATTGAATTACATAATTGGCTTGATATGCAACTTTATATACACATTAGAGTGGTTAAAAAAAAATTTTTTTTGGAAATTCACAAACGCTACCTCAAATTATTGTTACTTGTGATAAAAAAGAAGACACGTATTTTTTTATTTTGAAAAAAAAGTTTTTTTAGAGGTCGCGCTGGTCGGTTTTTTATAAAAAGGCTGATGTTCTCAATTTTTTTATTTTCTTGACATGTTAAAATTCAGCTAAAAATTTGGTTTTTACATTTAATTACTCTGGTATTATTGGGGAATATTCCCTTAATTACACACCTGTCTTGGACAAATGGAATGGGCCTAGTTCCGAAAATATTCTCTCGAAAAGACATTAGTAAAATTAAAACGTTGATACTGAACGATTTACGCGTTGTCATGGATTGGAACTTGTTAAAAAACTAAAACTTTTTTTTCAAAATAAAAAAATACGTGTCTCTTTTTTTATCACAAATAACAATATTCTGATGTAGCGTTTATGAATTTCCAAAAACAGTGTTTTTATGAACCACTCTAATACACATGTATGTACATTAGACTGCATCACTCCCCATACAAAAAAAGCAGTACTATTTTTCCATTGGAATTATAAAATCTATTATATTTTAAGACGTCCACCGAAATATTTCGGAAAAATATTAAGATTTAAGTGAGCTTGACCGATTTGAAAATACCTCCAAAAATGGAGTTTTTTATGAATAAAAATAGTTTCTTAAAGATTTTTTTTTTTAAAAACTCCCTCAAATGACAAAACGGTTCAAGCTTAAAAAATTTGCATAAAAATATTTTTAAAAAATTAAAAAAAAAATTGAACGGAATCGTAATGATGAGATTTTTGATGCTGTTTTTTAACTTTTTTCAAAGATTGGATTGGATTGAATAACTGAACCTAAACTGTTCCAATTTAGACTTAAGAGTTGTCATTGGAAAGGTATTTTCTCACCCTTGAAAGAGAAAGGTAGGATGAGCGAACGGCAATAAGATGTGTTGGTGTTTGAAAAAAAAGGGAACCAAATGACTTTTTTCGCACAGAAATAAAAACAGTGTGAAAATACCTTTCTACTGAGATCCCATAAGTCTAAATCAGAATAGTTTTGGCCCAGTTATTCAAGTTTTTCGTAAATCAATCTTTGAAAAAAGTAAAAAAACAGCATCAAAAATCTCATTCTTACGATTCCGTTGAACAGATTTTTTAATATTTGTATGCAGATTTTTTAAGCTTAATCTGTTTTGTCATCTGAGGGGACTTTTTTCAAAAAGTTCTTTAAGAAACTATTTTTATTCATAAAAAACTCTATTTTTGGAGGTATTTTCAAATCGGCCCAGCTCACTTAAATCTTAATATTTTTCCGAAATATTTTGGTGGATGTCTTAAAATATAATAGATTTTGTAATCCTGGCGGAAAAACCGCAACTTTTTTTGGTGATGCAGTCTAATGTACATACATATGTATGTGTAAAAATATATGTTCATATATCACATTTATGTACATTACATAAAACACTTTTTTATATGGTGCTATGCAAGAAATATTAAGGAACATAAAATTTCATTTCGTTTTGTACTAAAATACATTCCCTTTGCACTCAATGCATTAGAACTTATATGCTAGGTATGTACATATGTACATACATATAGTGGTCCACAAAATAAAAGAATTGCCATATTTTGACCACTTGCTCAGTTTGGTTAATGCCCCTTATTTTTCAACCAAGGTTTATGCCCTATCGCAAAGGAGGGAGGCTATTGGAAAAGCCGTTAAATTGCCTATGAAAATAAGAGAAAAGCCATTTCAAAATTTAACTAAATGTGGTGAAATTCATACTCAAGACTTGACCATACGTCTCCGTAGAGTAAAAACTCTATTTAGCTTGCCAAATAGAGTGTAGAGTTGTCGTCGAGTTTTCGATCTAGTTGCGATGGCCTGTGTACGCGGCGAAAAGGTCTAAGTCTCGCGTTTTTTCTCTACCGTGTACACTTAGCTTTATACTATATATACTATATATATCGCTCGTTCACCTGAAGACCGCTAAAACTTAAAAATTTGGTATTCCAAATTAAACCAAAATAAATAGTAATCAAAAAATGTATCAAATATAATCGTTAATACAAATTAAAGCAAAATACAGACTTCCTTACTTTCTCAAAAACTTATTGTGGGTTTGTACATAACAGAAGGACTTGAAGGCCGTTTCACCTAAACTAATTTCTTTTTTTGATTATGATTTTTTTCCAGCAAAAAGTTTTAAAGATTTTAGCATAAGGCTTTTTACGCAATTATGACTCATGGTTTAACGAGTTATTCTGTCGTTTTTTTAAGTTGTGGTATTATAATAAAGTAATTGTTCAGCCTTTTCTGGAAGGTATGTACTGTGGCCGCTGTGGTGTAGTGGTAAGCAGTGCGCGCTTCCACTCCACAACACCTGGGTTCAAATCCTGGTCAAAGCAACACCGCAAAATAATAGAAAAAAGGTTTTTTCTTAACAGCGGTCGTCCCTCGGCAGGCAATGGCAAACCTCCGAGTGTATTTCTGCCACAAAAAACAGCTTCTCATAAAAATACAATCGCCGTTCGGAGTCGGCATAAAACTGTAGGTCCCTCCGCTTTGTGTGACAACATCAAGGCGCACGCCACAAATCGGAGGAGAAGCTCGGCCAAACACTACCATATGTGTAAGCGCCTACCTATTATTATATTATATTGTGTACTTATAAATACAGGGTGGCGACTAATAACTGTTACCATTTTTTTATTAAAAGGATTTTTTTATAGATTTTGCGAAAAAAGTATATTATAAATTTTCCGCAGATTTTACTTTAAATTTATTAATACGTTTTTAATTTTAACCTTTATTTGGGCTTACAAGCGGTAAATACTTTGAGAGAAAAGTGTAAGCGGCAAGCAAGTCTTCGTCCGATAATTGATTTCATATTTTCTGTAACCATAGGCTAATTGCCTCCATTTTGAGTCTTTTATACTCGCCTTTTGTCCTACGTAACGCATTATACTCCGAAATCGATCAGACTCGGAACTGGTGACTAGGACGGCCATAATTCGACCATCCCTATTCAGGTTTTCTTGTTTTTCTCTTTTTTTATATAAAGTCTAAGAAAAAATACACCTGAAAAAAATCTTAAAGAGGCTTGCGTGCCGCATGAACTTATCTCCCAAAGTGTACACTGCTAGCAAATGCTTATAAGGATTAAAATCTTAAAACTGATCAATAAAATTAAAGTAAAATCTGTGAAAAATTAACAATAAAATACTTATTCGCAAAATCTATGAACGAGCCTTCAATAAAAAAAAAAAAAAACTGCGTACCAGTTATTGAACGCCACGCTGTTATGCGTACTTAAATATGATCTGTGGACATTTTTAGCGCATACTATCAAAAATGACAAGTTTTTGATGAGTCTACTTTTAATGTATGTATGTACGTATGTATATTTGCACTGCATACTTACATACATATCCAATTTAAGATATTTGTTTTGTTCGAACCTGTGAAAAGAAATGAACTGCATTTTCTGGATTTGCGTTTTTAATTTCCTTCAATCCCAATGCTATTATGGAATTAATGTCTGCCTCATCTGGGATTTGCATGATTTCATTGCGGTCTTGCTTTTGCTTTATCTGCAGACTTTGTTTGATATCGTAGGTGCCGGCGCTTACAGCTGCTGCTCTGTCTTTATCAGTATAAAAATCGACAAAATTTTCTTTGGGTTTCTTTTTTAAGAATTGATCCTCGACCTTTCTCCGCGCTGCACGCAATTCCGCCTCTATACGATTCCCTCGACCGGAAGCTCCGACTATACCACTCTTCTCCGCTTCATCGGCGAATTTAACCGTCTTGCGACCGCTAACCAAATTTCGAGCATCTGTAAAAGCCTTAGATGAACCACCGTTGCTCTTTTTACTCGATTGAGAAGCTCGAGCTCTACTAGTTTTGCGAGGAGATTCCTCTAAAGATTCTTCATCTGCAGTCACTCCAATTCGTATAAAACTCTGCAGTAATTCTTGCTCCTTATCTATAGCTAAAATATTTTTCAAAACATTCGTCATTGCTTAAGATGAATTCTACTTAAAAAAAAAACAATTCGACTTTTAGTTAGAATAATTCAGGAGTTTTCGCTTAAAACTTTGATTTTTATCTTCGGCCTTTTTTGGCTACTGTGTACATGTGTACATATATGTATATGATGTATGAAGAGGCAACTCGGCATTGGCGTTAGAAGTACATTTTGGGATACATTAGGGATGTAGTCTTTAAATTGAATTATTTCAGATAAAAAGTTGTAGCTTTACGTGACATTTCTAACATTTTCGGCAAAGCGTAGGCGCAAAAGATATGCCACAATGA